TTATATCAATGGTTATTTTGGTTTTCCATCGTGGCATTCGTTTGATGTTACCATGAACACGAGGTATGATACCATTCGTCGCCAAGTGATTTCTAACGTTTTCGAAATGGGTACGACCAATTCCTAACATATTTAGATACGTTTTCTGACAAAGCGGTGTATTGCGATCTCAGTAGTAAAAGGTTCGCTTATTAGTACGCGTTTTCTTTTTAAGACGTCGACTAGCGGTTATTTCTCCGCCATTCATTGCTTTCAGCTGAGCCATTAAAAATATATCTTGTTCGGAATTAGAGAGAGCTTGAAACGCTTCACGTAATTCGGCAAACCTTTCTCTTGGAATTATTTTTGAGCAACCACATTTGCAACCTGCCTCCAAGAAACGTATTGCTTTTTCATATTCGGTTGAACCGTTATAATTATAATTTTCCATATACGGGTATTCCTATATATTAATTTTACCAAGTTTATATCTTTTATAATCTTTTATTGAAGCTCAATGGATTTCTACTCACAGATCAAGAATTTACCATTAACTTGTAACTTTTCATAACATCTTCTAGCTAGCACTTATCTCTGAAATTAGTATGAAGCAATTACTATGGTGAAAATGACTCTTTTAATACTAATCTTTATCTATCCACCCTTTTGTTTATACATAGTGTTCCAGCAAGTCAGATAATTGATTGTCTTCATTTAAGAACAAGTGATTCTCTTTCATCTTGTCAGCTCGATATGCTAAACCAAAGTCGATTAAATACATGCTATCATTATCATAGCCTACCAATATGTTTTCCTCACGTATATCGTTATGAATAATCCCATATTTGTGGATTGCTTTTAATGCACAAATAGCATTAATCCTCTGCCTTTTCGTTATTTGTTTATAATCACTTAATGGAATACCAACGATTGTCATCCTGATGACAAAGAACATATTAGCCAGTGTTCCATAACATACTAAATTTGGTATGTATTTGCCTTGAATAGGTCTAAATTTGTTGAAGGACTTGTTGAAAAAGATTATTTATCTGTTGCATAGGATTGATCTCTCTCTCTCTCCTGTACATTGCTACTATGCTGGCTATTTACTTGCTCTTTTATCCCTCAAAATTCCCTCTTACATTTATCTTTCTCTTTTAGCAGCTTATTGATATCATTTAGCACGATGTTGCTGTTAAATTTTAACGCTTTGCTATCAAGCTTTGAAATTTGGAATTCAAAAATCCTCACAGCTACGATATTCAAAATAAAGTGTCTATCTGCAACTGGAATCAAATATAGCAGATGGGATATCATTATGCTATGAAAGCTTTGATTTCTTTCTGGGTTTATCCTTCTCTATTCTTCACTTAACTGCTTTATGCTTTCCATAGGAGTGTTTCAGGTGTGTGTGGCCAATTATCAATAATTTTTTTTGGCAGTTTCACGTAAAGAGCGGCCGTTCAGCAAATAGGATACAATAGAGGCAACAAGATCAATTAAGGTAGGGAGGCACAATGATTTATTCATCACATATCAATTTATATTCTTTTGTCACATTAGGAACAGCAACTATTTGATTAATATGGAGTCGATAGAATAGAGAACAAACCATAAGGAGAAAGGCAAAAAAAAAAATAGGTGGGCAAACAATGAGATAAAATCGAAGACTTAACATCCAAACCACTAACTATATAAGGTTACTGTAACTACGGGCTTGGCCAGCATTACCATCAACAAATTCCATCTGCCATTCAGAACCTGTGATATAAACAACATCAGTCTGTCCCTCTCCTCTATATTGCAAACTTGCCATCCATACATCATCTGTCTTCTCTATGGTTACATTTACTGGAGTCACATTTTCTGGAAAGACAAAGGCTTCCTCCTGGTTGAATCGATAATCCGGCGTAGGTATGTCCCTGAAATTATACCGTGTATTCGACCTATCCCGCGTATCCTGCATATCCTGATTCTCCTGAAAATAATCCACTCTAGGCTTGGGGCACAAGGTGACCAAAAACATATTAATAGTGTTATGGAGTCTGGCATATTGTGAGGCGCGTTCCACATGGTCTCGGAAGACAGTCCGAGTTGGTGCAACTTCGAGCTCAAAGCCATATACAGGAGTGGTATCACCGTTGTGGATGAGAATATCTAAGCGACGACGATTGTTACCATTATCATGTACTTTCCCCTCAACTAAGGTCCTGTACCGATACTTTGAAAACGCGGTTGAGAGCACACTCCTGAAGACGGAAAAGAACTCGCTTTGAAAGGAATACTCGGATGGGACTCCGGTAGAGTTTGTAGTCTCGTCAGTGTAAAGATGCTTAATATACAAGTTCTGTATCGAAAATAGAGACATTTGGCCAACTGAGTTAATTTTGTATTAAAAAAAAAAGATCAAGACCCACCTCGATTGTACGAGCTAACAGCCATCAGGGATCAATGGGATCTGGGACATTGTCAGGTATGGAGACTGGAGGAGAATCTATGTATTTAAGTATCAAGGTATGAAGGATGGGTGAGCTGAATTGGAGTTTCATCATGCTGTGCGATGCCTCTATGGCATAAGCTATTCCCTCTTCGAGGAGGAACCATGCATTGCTATTGTTCTTTGAATTGTTATGACACATACACGCAAAACACATATTGCAATATATTAATTATTATTATTATTTAAAAATAGTGAACCAACAGTACTGTAATAAAGGCAATAGTTTTACCTCATTAACATCACAAGTACCCTCACGGAGAATTTTGGCAAGAATATCCCTCTGTGGTTTCGTGAGCTTTGAGAGACAATGAAAGATAGAATTGTATGCTCCCAATTTTTTTATATACTCCGGCAGGTCAGCAAGAGTGTACTTGCTCCAGTCCTCATATGTTCTAATAGGAGCTGTAGGGATAAGTTTAGAGAGAATTGTAGAGGAAGTTTGATATGAAGCTTCAATGAAACCACCACAACTGCCGAAGAGACCCTTGTGTCCGAGGGTGAGCTTAAAAATATCCAGCGATATCTCGTAAGTTTTGTTCGTCGAGCTGTCTACCTTCAGCGAACTGAACCAAAAGGGTCTCGATCTGTTGTTCGGTGAAACGATCAGTTTCATAACGAGTGTCTACTGAAAATGGTGAAATACTCTTTATTCCATTTCTCTCGTGGGCAACGAGCTCCTTCAGTGCCAATTAAAAGAACGGAATAGAAAAGAGAATCTTGATGTTGTTGAATAGACCGCAGCGTGCTGAGAAACTCCTGGGTGATGCTGTCGATGACTGGATTACGCTCAATAGTCAGGTAGGAAGCCTCATCAATAATGAGAATAGCCGGCTTTCCAGAAGGGTTTTCCATCTTTGAAAAGAATTTAACGAATGATCCAGAAGCAACTTCGTCATGGGATATGATGAACCTTTTCGAGTACATAGATTGCATGCGAACGCATAGAGATTGCCAGAATGCCTTAGAATCGTTCAATTGAATCGTTTTGTCGAAGGCGATAACGAATACGTCGTATTCCTTACATCTCAGCGATCGAAGTAATGAGAAAGCGCAGGTAGACTTGCCACTCTGGCGGTGGCCGTACATGAGAACGCTATGACCGCTCAAAAGGCGATCTCTTATTTTTGCGGTGATGCCATCGGGATCAACGAAGTAGTTCTTATCCGGAAAGCCGCATCTACAATGGCAAATGTACGCGCCACTTCTGCACGAAGAATTGAGACGTCAGGCAGCGCTTATATAAGCTAGCATATAACGAACTTGGTCACTAGAAATGCAACTTACTAGGAGACCGGTATCCAAGTCTTCCTTGCCCTTTCGCTTAAAGACTAAGTAATGGATAGATTAACTGCAGATAAACGAGTGGATGGGATAAGTGATTTGATGGCACGCAAGAGAACGAGGAGGTATTATAGGATAAACGATTGGTAGGTTGAAGGTCATAACACCATACTACTACGTCTATCTACCCTACGTACACACTACTCTATGACCCAACCATTCGTCGCTAGATGCTTTCTGACGTTTTCCAAATGAGTGCGGCCAATTCCTAACATATTGAGATAATTTTTTGGCAAAGAAGCGTATTGCGATCTCAATAATAAAAAGTTCTTTTATTAGTACGCGTTTTCCTTTTAAGACGCGACTAACCGTTATTTCTCCGGCATTCATTGCTTTCAATTGGGCCATTAAAAAAATTTCTTGTTCGGGTCTAGAGAGAGCTTGAAACGCTTCACGTAATTCGGCAAACTTTTCTTTTTGAAACAACCACAATTGCGACCTACCTCTAAGAAAAGTATTGCTTTTTCATGTTCGGTTGAACTGTTATAATTATAATTTTCCATATACAGGTATTCCTATATATAAGTTTTATCATTGTTGAGTTAATAATTGAAAGTTGTGTGGTGATTGATTATTTGGATAGACCTAGCAGTAAATGTATCAAATATTCGAGTAGAACATATTAATATTTCATTAATAGCTACATCAAACGTTTGCATTTTTTATTAAAGTGTAGAATACTCATGATTTGAGTTGCTATGTATTTCTAGTGTTAGGAAATTTATTATGCTTCTGTTGTGTCTGAGTTCAGGACCTGTCTCAGTTCAGAACCCAGTCACTCAGTCCAGAACTCAGTTGTCTCAGTCCAGAACTGAGACAGGTTCCCAACTGAGGTACAACAACACCATCGGCGGCTGTTTCGTCATCATTCTTGATCGATTGCAGCGGCCAAATTATGGTGCTCAAATAATTCCGTAACGCCTCAAGACGTTTATTTTCACCTTGATATTCACTCGCCATACTTTCCAAAAGCGGGTCAACTAGACGCAGCACGTTTTGTGGGATTGGCAAGTTTTCATTTCTAAAATCAGTTATAAATTTGCCGAACACGTCATTATAAAGATAACTGGCGGCCCCAAACAGTTATGAGGACGATGGTTTAGCACAGTTGGAGGAATTTGAACCTTATTGAAAAATACTGAATGGCGCGCAGATGTTGAGGGAGGCGGTATTTCCAATACCCGATCTACGTTCTGATTTTGAGCATCGAGCAACTTGCGCCGCTTCTGAGTGTCTAAGTCCATCAAGTCGAGAGAATGAGAGCGTCGACGAACATTAGAGATGGATGCAGGCGACCCTAATGTAAACCAATAAAATGCATCAACCACAAGTTATTCGATGTCACAGACAACCCTATGTCCTCAACGCCCGAGTCACAAAGTCGTTACCTGGTTGAACAGCCGCCAAGAGACCCTTCAGATAACTAATCCTGGCGGCGTCGTTATTGCAGGCTGATAGAACTGCAGCCGCTTCTGCTTTCTGAGCGGGTTTATTGGTAAAATGCACGAACAGTGCTGTCTTTTCGTCGTCGTCAAGAGTAAGACGCGAAATTTCCGGGTAGAGTTCCATATTGAGACAGGGTGCTGCGCGATGCAATTTAATACCGTAATATACTAATACTAATGCAAAAGTTTCGTTTTTGATAGATCGGCGGTTGCGTTTTTGATAGATCGGCAAGTCCCCCAAATTTAGGTTGCGTTCTTGATATATCCGCAGTAAAGTCACGTTTTTTTCACTGATAACCTGTTTCGGTAAACTACCCCAGGAGGCTGTGGGTAATTGTTGCAGTAACGTGACTCTGTATTACATCTCTGTCCGTTGCATCTCTGTGTACATTTCGATTTCCTGAAACGAAAATCTTGTGTCGGCTCACTGACTAAATCGGGAATCGCT